AAACAGAGACATGCCAAGAAATTGAATGTAGGGACTTTGATTGGCCAATTACTACCATTCTAGAGTTGATTGGACCTGAATGCTTGGAAAGTTAATTGATTCTTTCAGCTTACAGGCATATACTTTCACTTACCTAGCAACAAATGAAATGAAGAGCAAGTATTTCTAGCCATTGTTAGTAGTGGACAAGGAAGCATAGCCACGTTGTTTCCTGGTTGACTTTTTTTCATTTAGATTTAAATATGGCTGGTTTACCTGACATTCAGGAAAAAGGCTTCCTCCTAAGTATTTATGGGAAGACAACTTTTTACAAATTTATATTACTATAATGTGAAGTATAAAGTTTGCATAGCAAGCTAAAGAGAATCAGTAAGACTCATACATCTGTTGCTTTTTTGAAAGTTTTTCCTTACAAATCCCCGTTGTTCATCTTGGTCATGTCTACATGTGCCAATTTAAGGTGCATTATCCATTTTAAGGTGCATTAAGGGCATGGGTCTACACGTGCATTAGGCATGGGTCTACAGGTGCATTAAGAGCATGGGTCTACACACCTTTAACAAGCCTTAAAAATGGCAATTTTAGGTTATTCACGCCTAAATTCGATACCTACAGAAGTATCAAATTTAGGCGCGAATAGCTAAAGTGTGTAGATGCGCTAAGGCACATTAACGTTGTGTATGTCCACTGACTTGGGACTAACTTTAGTTCCAAGTCGGTTTGCATACCACTTTAATGCACCTTAGCGCATGCACATGTAGATGTGTGTCTAAATTGCTTTAATGTGCATTAGGCAAAGCGCATTAAGTTTAGGTGCACATAAAAGCATGTGTAGACATACCCCTTTTTGTGAAACAGGTTAATTCACCTGCATGCTTAATTAATTGAGGCAACATCCAGAGCCACCCCTAGGGGTGTGCAGAGCCTGGGGCATATAAGCCCATGTGGGGTTGGGGGGTGGTGAGTGGCCGGAGTGTGGAGTGGGCGCGAGTGGAAGAGCATGGTGAGGGGAGCAGTGGCGAGCAGCAGGAGCGTGGAGCACGGCGGTCACAGTGGGGCCTGTACAGCACTGTCCATAGAGCCCCCCAGAGTGTGGGGCCCGGGGCGGTCACCCCGATTCACCCCCTTCAGGGACAGCCCTGACAACATCACAAAACCATAGCATCAGAAGCTACCAAAGTAAATTGTGGAAGATCTGCCAAAAACCTCATATATACTATTCAGATTATGGCAGGAAATAGTTATTTCTCCAATGAAAATAAACTAGCTTGGCAAGAAATGTGAGGGAGGACTTGCTGAAAAACCAGGAGTATTCCTGGAAAATTTTTGTCTCAGAAAACAATCTCTTCCCATTTCAACTCACACTGAGTCAACTCCCCAAAAGTGGACAAGCTTAATCAAAACTGAAACACAAAAGGTACAAAGGGACTTGAAAGCTGGAAAGTGCTTATAACTGATATGAATTCTTATTGTATTATTTTGATTTTAAATTGACTTTCTCTTGGAAACAACCATAAAAAAACATGGTCAACTTGTGTGAAAAACTGATAATCACAACTATATAACAGTAGCATAAATGTAGTAACATGAGCTGACAGGAAGTCATGTAGTGTTGTATATATGTCAGAAGAGTGAATATCTAAAAAACTTAAAATGGATTTTGAATGTGGTTATTTATTTATTTTTGGAGTGAATTGTGCATTTATTGTTTGGGAAAGACTAATGAAAAATTTTAGCAGTAAGTTAAAAAAAGAGCTGAGGCTAAATTTTAAATGTTTAAGACAATTATATGTTTCACTTTTCCAAAGCACAATTTAGCTCTCAGCAAATCTGAGCTGATATCTGCTCTTAACAATGGTATAAGCAAAATCATCTTTCTCCTTCCCCACAATCCCTCAAAAATTAGGAAAACTTAAATTTTGGACTCCTAAAACCAGAGCTGTTTAGATCCAGGGTTTTGGCTGCACACATCATAAAATTTGAATCAGAACTACAATTCAAGTCTGGATTTTTAATAGGGGCCTATGAATAGTTTCCATTTAACTAAAAATATCCTTGTAGCTCAATTCATGTCTTGATATATGGATTTTTTGGTTGAAGACAATACAATGAACCTTTGGGTAAAATTATTTTTAGATACAGAGGATGCTTTTTTGAATTTTAATATTTTGAGTGCATTGAACCCCCTGGGTCTTTTTCTTCAACATTTTGATTCTCCTGTGAGATTTCATAATGGCCATAACAGTTTAAGGAATTGTTCTTGTTATTGACTTATATTTGAGGAAAAAGCTGTTTTTCCTAAAACTGAACTTGAAAATATGGGGTTGACAAAATGGTACGCATGCTTTGTAATCAGATGTTTATTTAGTGTAAAGAGGTCACTTTCTATAGTCACCATGCCTCTTTGAATTTCCTCATTATATATAACACTTTATGTCTTATTTAAATTTCCAGTATAATCCTGTGTGTTGCCATTACTTCCATTGCCTTTGTATTTTTCAAATAAAGACACTCATGCAAAGCTAAATTAGCATTCCATCTAACGCACCTAAGTCCAAAGTTGCAATCAGAAAAACCCTTCCTCAGTGGCTACCTGTTTCACCTGAAAGTCCTAATTAAAGTACCTCTAATTTTGCTTCTGTGCACTCAGAACTGGTTTCAGAAGCTTGATATCTATCTCACAGAAAGCCCAAGAACTCAGAAACTAGGTGGAAGGGTGTCCAAGCCCACTGAGGAACCTACCTGGCCGGGTAGTTATGTTCAGAGAATGCTGAAGAGGCCAATAGGATTGGGCTCTGCAAAAGTACAGTTCTGGACATTTTATTTTTAAGACTGAGCATGGTGGAGGAGGAAAGGGATGTAGTGATTTCTACTTTTCATATAATAGTCTAATGATTAAAACACTTGCCCAAGAAATTGTACATGCTTTCAGAACAATTTCTGTTTTTCATTCATTAACTCCGTGAACTCCAGACTCTCTCACCTTCCAGTTGAGGGCCCTAACCACCCTCCTGCGCACACAGTCTCTCTTTGGAGTTAAGTTTGCAGTCAAGAACTCAACATATCACATGCCAAAATAAAGGGTGCCCATTCAACTTTAATATGGACACCTTCAGCATATGTATTACAATTTAATGCTTTATCACATACTGTGATTTCCCACCGGATGGACAGCGCTTGCTGAATTGGTAGCTATTCAATTTATATTTTATCCTCATCATCTCATTCATAGCCCCATGCCTTTTTATTGCACGAAACCCAAACTCTGAACTGAATTTAGAACGATTAATCCTGCCATGGCTTTTCTACAGTGATCTCACTATAGTATTTTTGAGGCTTTATGTTTTTAAATGAACATTAATGATTATATATGCACCACCTCCTTGGGAGAGGATGTCTACGCCTGTTTTTTTCTGGAACACAGAGATTGCATTAGGACTTTATAAATTCAAATTCAAAGCACAGCTTCCATTGTCTTCAGTTGCAGTTGGGAGGACTTGGTGCTCCTGCAAATTAGATTGTATTGAAGACGCGTGCCCAAAAACTGAAGAACACACAATAGCCACCTGTGGAAATGACTTGCCCAACGTTGCCTATCTCTTCGGTAGAGGCACAACTGGAATCCGATTATTCCTAGTGACATTCATCTGGGTAATTCATGCCCATTTTTTCTCTTTCTGCTGTTCTGTCTCATTCACCAGCAGCCTCCACCTTGTGCAACAGGTGAGGCAGGAGCCTGTTGTATGACCTCCAGTATCATTCACTGCACAACCCTGACTTCTTCGTGGGATGTAGTGCAGTCAGGCAGAGATGCTGTGGAATAATAATAATAAAGAAGCATCCCTGTGCGCTTGTGTAATTAAAGACTGCACCAGCATGGAAAGGCACCAGGGAGACAAATGAAGGTGGCGCAGGCAGACTTAATTATACCGTGACCTTACTCTCGCTGCAAGCTTTGTCTTGTCTTCACACCCATTTCTTTTCCATAGAAGTGTTTCCCACATTTCCTCAGGAAGCACAGACAGAGCACCTGGGTATTGTGGTGTGTGCCCCCTATAGTCACCTGGCGGGACAGGTGGCTTCAGACCCTCAGCAAGCACCTTTTATTTTTCTTCATTTGATTTTTTTAAAAATCATTTTGATGGTAAATTTATTTCTCATTGCATGCCTTTATCACTTTTTCTATTTATATTATTATACATTTATAATGGTCTAATTGATATGATATATTCATACTTATCTATCCATTTATAATTTTATCCGGACTCGTAGTAGAGATGGCATTTTTTATGAGACCAACAAGATTTTTGCAAAAACATTTCTTTAAACTCCGACGAGTCCCGATTGCCTTTTCCTCGAGACCAATATGGCTACAACCTGGAGACCTTTATACTTTTATGATATTGTACGAGTCACTTGAGCTGCCCGAGGGGCTGATGGCAGCAGGGACAGGCTGCTCTCTTCTCTGGGCGCCTCTTACTTGGTGGGGAGGAGGACTCTCGGTGCAAGCCAGTCCGCCTGGCAGATGCGGGCCGAGGCAGCGAAGGGGACTTGCCCAGCACCGCCGAACTCCTCGGGGGCGGCCGCGCCACACGCCGCTGCCCCACAGCGACACGCCCGCGCTTTTTCTGTCCGCAGCTCTCTCACCCGCGCCGGAGCGGGGCAGGACGAGCCGGGGGCTCCGCGGGGAGCCCCCCCTGGCGCGCGGGAGGAGGCACTGCGGGACGCGCCCGGCTCGGCG